TGCATTTGACAGTAAAGTGTAGTAGCCATTAGAATAACAAAAGAAATTAAAGCAGTGAAAACTTAAGATTTAAAATTAAGCACTGTTGAAAGAGTTTTCATTGTTGATTTCTTAAAATAGAGCGGGAAGCGTTCAGTGGAGCAAGTTCTATCGGTTTCTGTTCAGATTGCAATGATTCTAATCAAAGAAGGCAAAGAAACTGAAATCGTCTTCCCCTTTTTCCTTCACACATGAGGAACATATATATACAAAACATTATTTGATTGTAGGCTTTGGGTTCTCCAAAGAACATTAAATAGATAAATAGGAAGCAGGCCAATAAGAGCTTTACATTCAGGGAAGACATGCCAGCTTTAGTTTACAGTTCCTGGTTGGTACATCAATACATTGATGTTGCATTAAATTGTCATTATTTACAAAATCATGCACCGTTGGCACTTTTAATGGACTGTTAATGCAACTTTGCATTAAAAGTGTCATTATTTACCAAATGAAACAACTGTCATAGACATTCATAAGGACTCGTTCATGTTCATGGCAGGTGGTATGTCAGTCTTATGCACACCCCTTCAAATAGTGTTATAGAGCAATTAGATATTGAATAAGAGGGGTCCCAGGATTGAACCTTGGGGTACCACATATATGACTTTAGTCCACTTTAATGAGAAGTTATGTATTGACACAGTTATGTAATGACATATTCTTTATGACAGACTTGAACCAATTGAGTACTGAACCAGATCCTACCCAACTTTTAAGGTCATTTCAGTAATATGTCAACAGTGTCCAATGCTGCACTGAGGTCCAACAGCACCAGCACTGTGGTTCTTCCACAGTCTGTATTTATATGGATGTCATTGAACACTTTGACAAGAGCGGCCTTGGCTCTGTGGTGAGCATAGAAACCAGACAGGAGGACAAACTATAACTCCTGAGAAGAAAGACACAGAGGCAAAAAGTTGATGTGAAACAAGACTTAACAGTCAAATGCTGACATCGTTTAAGTTCCAACCCCTGAAAACAGGAAGTGTAATGTTTTACTTTAAAAGCTTCGTAGGTGACCCCCTTCACCTAAAAACATTTAACTGTGCTCATCGAAAGAAGACAAGTACAGTACTGAGAGGTTTCAAAAGCTGCGGGGCAGTGCCATCTTGGTGTAGTCTATTCCCAGACCAAGGCCGTACATGTGCACACATATATCTTCTGAGCTGTACCAAATTGAAAATGATGAATATTAATTCAACTCCTAAAAGATATGTAAGGAAATATTTAGTGGGTGTGGCCACAGTGCTCCTTAGAAACAAAAATTATTATCCCCAAGCGATGTTTGGGGATAATATTTGTTTGTTTGTTTGCTGTTACAGATGTTTACACATCCGTAACTTCTCAGAACCCACTAAAACATCCCATGGAGGCATGATACAAACCCCACAGGAAGTTGGCCATTTTGGTCCAAAGCCACCATTTTGTACCTTTTACCATTGTTGTATCTGATCGAAGTCCTCCTACAGATTTGGTCTTAGACTTCAAAATCAGCTAGTGTAGTCTTAAGGTGTTGGGGAACAATGCTTTTGACTTCACATCAAAGCATGTGGGCGTGGCCAAGCCTTGGCATCGATTTCTGAAATGTCTTCTTTTCATATTCTGCCTGGGGCTTCTGGGAGGCTTTCACTGACCCATGAAAATGCTCGGGTTTTACAGGGGACCAATAGGCATACTGGAACTGACAGGTGAATGCACAGTGCCCTTACAATTTGTCTATAATGCAGGGTTGGCTCTGGTTGGGACAGAAATGCATCTTAAACCTGCAGGACTGTAGAGGTCAAGGAGAAGGGTTGGAGACTGCTGATTTAGATGGTACTTTTTTGAATATGTCATCAGTGTATATTAACTAATATTAATAACTGCATGAGTGCTGGTTGTGTCACAGAACCATAAAAGTTTTCTTCCAGAAACTTTATTACCTCTTAGTAAACTATAAATAATGAACTTTGAGTATTTACTGAGTTGTTCTGTGTTTACTGTGCAGAACAGCACCTTCTCTAGGTTTGGGGAAATTTCAGACACTGCAAAAAACAAAAATAACATAAATAAGGTGTTTATGACTTCAGTTCATTGCCTAATAATACCTTTAATTTCTTGAAGGCTATTATTACAAACTCAACTCCAACCACTTCCGATCTTAATGGTGCCAAAGTGGACTGCATCCCACTAATGTCACTTGATGCATTTTCAACACATACCAACATTCCTTGTATGTAGGGTTGACCAAACCATATTTTCATATAGTACATGTAATTTGGTCATTCTAATTTGGGACACAATATTTATTCAAACCTCTGGCAACCCAAACATTCGGAGATATTCTGAAGTTAGTTCATTGTTTATGTGACCTCTTCACCTTTCCTTCCAGATGGGCTTCTTCAAAAGGTCAGACCCCTACGGAACAACCATGGAGAAGGCCCACCTCAAACCCCAAGCGTCCTCTGAAGCTTAGATCGAAGAAGGGGTTTCTCCTTCTTATTCCAACGAACTGGAAAAGATCGCTGCCTTCTCAAGCGAGGGAAGGAACTCACTGATCGTAAGCTAGCACCCCATTCATGCAGGGTCATTTATGGGTGCTGTATCACTGGAATAATGTTAACCTGGTGCTGCACTAAAATACCAAAGAAGAGGAGATGACTGGGGCCGCGCAGCTAAAGAAGCATTGCTGTTTTGGACACCAGTTTGGACGGTCATGTCCTAATCGGACACTCAGGCTTGAGGAAAAGGTTGCATCTCCAACAAACAGCACTAAAGTTCCAGCTTTGCTTCTTTCCAAAAATGCTGACTTTTTAAGCCAAGCTTGGCCCTCGTGTTTGATATCTGTTGAAATTCCTGCTTTTTATTGATCTGATCACCACTTGTTATTTATGGCACAGTGATTTTTGTTGAATGTTACTCTGTACTGTCTGCAGGGAACACCTGATCAAACTGCAACGTCTGACTTGAATCTTTCCTCTCCCATATTGGGAGGTTTTATGTCTGTATGTATGTATTCATTCACTGTGTTGACCTTATTGGTGTTGTGGCTCCGAATAAAGCTTAATTTTGTATAATCATCTAAAATGGGTCTCATGATTTTCAGCTGTGAGGAAACAGAGGAGTACAAGCTGCTCAAAGGGGTGGTGGAGAAACTCTAGGCTGGATGACTGCAGGGTGTCCAATATGATGCTGCTCCGCTTCTTTGCAGATGATGTGATGATTTCAGTGAGTGATCTGGGTTTTGAATTGGAGCAGACTCTTGCTAACAGTGAGAATGCTGGTCTGTAGACCAGAAGGTCTTCAGGAAACAATGAGCAGAGGTGGATATTTAACATATAATTTTCTTACAGCTGTGGTATGTAACATTTTATGTTTGTTGAAACTGTCACTATGATGTGACAGTATAGTCTGAAACGGATAATCAGACAAAAAATTGAGCTCCTCCACCTTCTCCAGTGCTAACTAAAAATGACCAATTAGAGCCAGGAGGCGGGTCTTAGTGCTGTCAATCACAATATCGTGTGGCACTGCTCATCTTCCCTCTCCTTCCCACGCTTGATCTCTGTTACGCTACAGCTAGAACACCCTGTTGTGAATGCTAATGCTAGTTAGCATAGCCAATGATGACTGCAAATAAACTGTCTTTCCTGTTTTGCCGCCATTAGCACATTTAGCAGCATTGATTGATTGTGCTAAATCCCTCCTCCTGGCTCTGATTGGCTGTTTTTGGTTGGGAGTGGTGCTTTTCTTCAGATGACAATCGTAGCTCAGGGAGGAGGTGGACGACAATCTTTTCACAGATTATCTGTCTCATAATACGAAGAAACAGTTTTAACAAATATGTAAAAGAATAAAATAAAATATTTATAAAAGTTACATAGTGCAGCTTTAATTGCTCATCTTAAACATTTATCATTCAAATTTTCTGAGAAACTGAATTTTGGCTGGCTGCACATACAGCGCTGTCTAAACATGCAGTTTTTGTAGAGCAGTGGTCTTTTGTAGCTTTATCTCCTTGCATAGGATTACGAGAACTGTCTGCAGGAAGCTGTCAGGTCAGCAGTCGCCTCCCAAATGCCTCATACCGAATGTATCCAGGAAGAACCATCCTATGGGAGAAGCACTATTGACTTAACAGTGAATAAAAGTCAATATTTTAGAGTCAGCACCAAGCAATCATCTAAGGTACTGATATTCATGGTACTAATTAGGTCAGTTTTCCTGTAGTTTATAGTTGGTGCTTTGCACTACCCTAAGTTAAATAGATCAACACTAAGGAGTTGACATACACTGAGGTACAAATATGTGACTTTTTAAAAATACTTTAAGAACCACTGAGATAGTAAAATGAGTTTTACATATTTGTGGACTGAAATGTTAATGAGAAAGGAAACAATCGGCAACTTTAGTTGACCCATTTTTAATCTTTACTAATATTTGAAGCTTGTTCAACATGAATGAGCCAAATGCCTTTTGGCCACAATGACAAACGTCCAGAAGTATGTTGGTAGAAGTGCAATGTTTTGTTGCTAATGGTACTGGTCCATTTTATTTAAGTAGATACAATGATGACTCAAACTTTTACAAAGCAAAATAACAAATTAGAAAATAGAAAAAAATTCAAACACATTTTTAAGCAAATTCCTTATGTGTTATATAAGTCCACCCAACAAAGCATTAGTTCCAAAAATATATTAAAAGCCAATAATTATTGTGACATTCATGGTAAGTTTGAGTGCGTATAAACTTCTAATCACACCTGCAATGTTTTACAGTGTAATGTTGAAAGACAAATTGCTATTTTCAGCTTTGCATCAGACAACACTGGATTAATAGAGAGGAAGATGAGAGCTACTTCCTGTTTCTGACCTCACTTCCATCTGGATCTGAAGAAGAGACGGTAGAGATCGCTTCATGATGCAGAACATCAATCATGAATGAATATCGATAAATCTCTAATATGTTTTGGTTGAACTTTTCAGGTTCGCAGAACTTCTGCTATAATATTAATCCAGGTCTTGAACCGTCCTGCTGCAGCTGCTATGGTGGCTCTTACATTACTGCTGAGTGTATACATGTGGCGGTCAGCTGAATGCTGCTGACTGTCACTTCCTGCAACTCTAGTGTTTCTGCTTATGCTCTCCTGCTCCTCTCTCTCCCTGTGTGCAGACCTGCAGTGTATAAAAGCCTCTGTGCTGAGGCTGCTGCTCTGCAGAGGAAAACTAAAGGATCCAGAGGAACCAGAGAAGCGTTTGTCATTTTCTAGCTGTGAGTAACACACATCATAGTTTATACAGTTAGATAAAGTAGAGCTTAATATTTATGCATACTGATCATGCATGCTGCTTCCTTTGAGTTTGCAGTGGCAGATGATTCAGCATTTTTTCTGTCCTTGTTTTGAACTGTAAAAAGATAAACAAACTTACTGTATAGTGGACACTGATCTTTAATACAATCTTGATTTTTGACAGGGTAGTAGATAAATTATATTTAGTAAATTTTTATGACTGGTTCTTCAAAGTGTGGGACTGATTTGGTATTTTGGGGGTGTGGTTATACGAGATTCCAACCCCCAGTTGTTTGTCCTGCAGAGATTGATCTGTTTAAACCCTGGGTGATCCCTCCTATTCAGAAACCAAATACCTCGGCTTTTGCCTTTTTGCTTTTTGTCTGCTGTGCGCTGAATCAGATATTAGTTTTTGAAATCTGTCTATGTGGCAGACTCCTCATAAACAACAAACCAGAAGACATCTGAAGACATGTTTAGCTAGCGATCTAATGTGTTTTTCTTTGCAGGCCCAGAAAACCCATATTTATCCAGTAACCATGGCTAGAAACCTGCTAAAGAATCCCAGTGGAAATGGTGAGATGTCTTTTTGTTTCTTCTCTTATGCAGTTCCAAACTGAATCAATAATGTATATAGGAGACAACACTAGACTATAAAGGGCTGTGGTGACACAGACATTTAGAGTTGTGTATCATTAGCATAAGCATAGTAAGATATATTGTACTGTAGTCCCTACACGGAAAAGACCCAAGAACAGAGCCTTTAGGAACTACAGTTTATAAGCTTTATACAACACAGTGTCATGGTCGACAGGGTGAACCTTTTGGTGTGTCAAGTTTTAAAGAGTTTTCACTACATGTGATGTATATTTCTTTAAAAGTCCATATACAAATCTGATACTTTGCAGTTTTAGCAGAAGTTTCCATTTTCACTTCCAGAGTGACACAATGTCACCAAATTCCCCCAGATCTCAGGATAGTCTAAAGATGAAGCATACTATCAATTATCATCAGTCAATGTGTTTAATGAGAGTTAAACATCATATAGCATCAACATCATGAGCATTGTACAAGATTTATCATTTAGAAGTAAATGATACCCTGTCAAAAATCAAGGTTGTATTAGAGATCAGTGTCCACTATACAGTAAGTTTGTTTGTCTTTTTACAGTTCAAAACAAGGACAGAAAAAATGCTGAATCATCTGCCACTGCAAACTCAAAGGAAGCAGTATGCATGATCGGTATGCATACAGATGTACAGATTTAGTATTGTACATATTGTATGTCTTTAGCTTTGAGCTAAAGAACTAATAATTAAAAATATATATATTTTAAGATTTTGTCTTAGTCATCAACAGCTGACCAATTAACCCACAAAGCAATTTGAATTAGTGAGTGAAATTTACTCTGAGGAATGTGACGTGCTGGTTGTGCCTAATGTGTGGTCAAACCTCCAAAACATACATGTTTTAAATAACCTCCTTACATGACAGCCAATTGTATTTTGACTGAAAGTGAACGAGTGAGCTCTGGTGTTTTGAGATTGAAAAATTAATTCTGGATTTAGAGATAAGCTACATAGTGCTACAATTAGCCATCTGAGACTGAATTTCCCTCCTAGAGCAGCTGGAATCCTGGGAGCTGACAGAAAACGGTGGGAACCAGTGGAAAGTGGAGGACATGCCAGGAGACTGTGGCCATGACTTCTGCAATGAAGAAGTGACCAAATATTTTGTGACTTCCTTTGAGTGAGTGGTTGTTACCATTTGTGTCATAGTATAAGACAATTAAATCACATGTAAATAAGCCTGTTATGCTACCATTCAGACCTGCCTGTCTTTAGCACCAGCTTTAACACCACTAATGTCTCATGCACCACCTGAACTCTGTTTCTATAATTCTCATCAGCGGTGGACATACTTTCACTAATCTGCAAATGCACTCATAGCAGAGCTATTTTTTTCGCTAAGTGTTTTAGCACTTTTACTAACTTTGAAAATGTTTAGCGTTCTTAGCTTCCCTTGAATTCATTTTTCTGGATAAGAAAATTTACTTAGCCGTTTTCTAAACTTTCAGTTGAAAGTTTGAAATCTGTGTTGAAGTTTTGATTGTCGACTATTTTTTAAGTAGTTAGAAGTTAATTCACATACTCTTCCTTTGAAGTGGGTGACGACAGTTTGTGCAGCACTTCCATTTTTTTCCTCAAGTTTTATTTTGTCCAATAACTTTATTTCAAAGAAGAAACAAACAGGAACAAAATAAAACACAGGCAGCAGAATCCAAGACATAAACATGAATACAATATCAATGAGTAATATAGAACATGTAAATTATAATGTCAAAATTAAATTAGTGCTCAAGAGTTGTACTCTTTCAATGGCAGCTATAATTTGAATGAAAGTTAGTGCTTTAGCATGGGCTTCTGTGTTGGTGTTATGCTTTAGTGTCAGCAGAACTCATGTTTATGATTACTTCATTAAGGTTAGAGCAACTAACGCTTGAGTTAGCAGTGCACACCACTGAATCTGATTTAGCTAACTGCTAACAATCGTCCTCATGCATTATCCTAGACTTTGCCTAAAACGGCAGGTGATCGACCTGATAGAGGAGGGTTACAGCCCAGAGCAGCTGGATGCTCAGCCTCCTGTCACAGTGAAAGACTGGTAAGGCTTGAACATACAGGTAAGACTGACGCTTTGCATCAGGATGCATTCACACCGGCTGTTTAGTCTGCTTTAATCAAATTCTAATTAATTTGTCAAGAAAGTCTGGTTTGTTTGGCGAGGTGTGAATGCTCAATCCAACTCTGATGCAGACCAAAAATAAAACAAACTCTGCTCCGCCTAAAAACCTCGGTCTGGAGTTTGAATGCATATGTGGATGCATGTGGACTAGTGACGGATCCAAACGCAGGAAGCAAACTATAGCGCAGGGCATTCTGGGTCTGGAATAAATGCAACTGTCCAGCATCAGCTTTATACCAAAGACTAGAAAAATCCTACAACTGTTAAAATCTTAATTTTGATTAACTTTTGTGAAGAAGGAAGTTGTGCTGGTCTTTTTATGAGGTTTTTGTGTTGTTTCCCTCAGTAGATCTTGGTACAGCGCCACCACAGGAGAGGAGGTTTTTCAATTAGTCTGGATCAATTGACAGAGTCCAATATGAAAGTGAGCCGTACCAGCTGAAAATGAAGCAAATATGACTATTTTAGTCCCAAATCAAAACGAGTCTACCGGACTGTCAGGTGTGGAAACACACTTAGTGAGGTGAGCTGCTGGTTACAGTAGCTGTGTTTTCATTAGAAATATACTCAAAACGCACTTGTGAAACTTATTGCGAAATAAGAAATCCAGTTGAATACCGATGGATCTCCATCTATCTGGGGTCGGGTCGTGGAGGCAGCAGCCTAAACTGAGAGACATGGACTTTCCTCTCCCCAGCCACTTGGTCAGCTCTTCCTGGGGAATCCCAAGGCATTCCCAGTTCATCCCAGAAACAAAGTCATAGTCTGGACTTCTTCTGGATCTCCTTCTGGTGGGATGTTCCCTAAACATCTCACCAGCGAGTTGTTCAAGAGGCTGGTGAGATGGCTTTGAGAGCCCTGCTAGATTCAGCTGCACATTGTCCAATGAGGCCAGAGACCACAGATAAACACTTTGCTGCTGCATACAAACTGGAAAAAAGTGTTTCCATTTCAGTTTTGAAAAATATGCACGTCAATATGGTTAAAAAGCATGATTTTTTCCCCCCCAAGTTGTTAAGTGCTCATTAAGCAAATATATTTTTGTAATTCTAATTCACATCATTTTATCATCAGTGGAAACACAGCTTGTGATGTCATCCTGCAGGTTCTGTGGCAGGACCGACTGCGGCTGCACCTATCAGATGACATCCTGTCTGCTGGATGAGAATCAAGAGGTTCTGCAGGAATATGTTCATGATCCAGAGACTCTGGACCCCGAGGCAGACTGCTCATGGAGACAGGTTTTCAGATGCTTTAGTCTCTAATAGAAAACTAACACTAACACATCCTGCAGAGAAGACATTATCCAACCAGCAGTCCGCTTTCCCTTCCCTTGTTCATCTCTAGGTCACTCATACGTTTTCTGACTACGGCCCTGGAATGCGTTTCATCTCATTCGAACATGGAGGATGTGACACCAGCTACTGGGAAGGTTGGTTTGGAGTTCGGGTCACTGGGAGCTCTGTGACGGTTGAAGTCTGAACCTGAGGAGAAACAAGAAGAGGAGAATGGAAACAAGAATAGCCAAGAATAAAATATTAAATTATTCATCTTAGTTTATTTTAAATACCGTAGCCATTGCAGTATTTCCAAAGCAGCTGTTTGAAATCTTGAGGTTTAACCTGGTGCTGCTTTTGGTTCAAGAAACGAACGTTCACACAAATAGGCACCTTCACTTTATTAACCTTTATATATTCGACCCACAGCTTGCTGGACTAACTTTAAATTAGCCTCTAGCTACTCTTTGCACTAATCAGCAATCCTTCAAATATTAATCACAGTAATAAAATAAAGTATTGCGTGCAATCCAGAATGTGTTGACGTGTAATGGTGGTTTATTTTTCATGGCATTGAACTACTTCCAGCCACATGGACTTCAGTAGGATTTTATGTGTTGGACCAACACAAAATAGAGCTCAACTGTGAGAAAGAAGACAAATGATGTTAACATGAAATGAAGACTCCCACAGCACTGAAAGTGCATGTAGCGGCATGTTGCTAACAGCTAATGAGAAAAAGAACATCAACTGTAGCAACTTTTCTTTTTATTTTCTTATGTTTACATGGTGGAGTGGAGAAATAAACAACCGAACAGATGGGAATCTGAGCTCACACACATCACACCCAAAGGTAGTTTAACGAGCCAAATTAACCCAATAGTAATAATGTAATAGGATATATAGTCAGAATTCTAATTGACAATATTTCTGTTCTGCTCCCTCATTAAATGAAAAGGATACAATTTAAAATATAAACTGAATTTGTGAAATGAAGATTAGATTCAGATTGTGCTGACTGTAATTTTTGTAACTCACGTTGAGCGTTTTCAAACATTCTTTATTTTGTGTGCGGTTGTTAGTGGGTTTGGAAATTACTTTAATCTGAATATATTCATTTTTCTATATTAGAAAAATTCATAAAATTTGCATTTATGTAAATAACTGGAGTTTAATTGCAATATATTTTATTAAAAAATGTCAACGTCTTGAAATAGGCCCTATAAAAATGATCACAGACAAGTTGATTTGAGAGGAATTTTACTTTTTTTTTTTTTTACATTTTGAAATATTCAGATTAATGTAGCCCTGTATTACTTAGTGCATTTTCAACTTGAATAAACTTCAGAGAACATGTGATATAACCAGTTATACGGTTGTAATTAGTGAAGCTGGGAACGCACTACTTCACAGATTTTGAAAAAACCTGGAGTTTACACCAAGAAAGGTGTCAGCAATTTTTTGACAACAAATAAAATTGCTGACAATTTTTCAGCAATTTAAAAATTGCTGAAAAATGTTCCCAGTTAAAGGCATAAACTAAGGATTATGCTTTTAACTGGACCTTTCATTACAATACAGAGAAAATTTTTGAGCATGTTTTATGTTATAGTTAGTATTTGGATTTTAATTATACTTTGCAAAAAAAATTCTGAAAACATGTTTTCATTTCCAAAATACTATCAAATCATCTAAAATGTTATCAAGAAACAAAGTTCATAAAATATCACACATTAGAACAAACTTTAGTTTTTCATTAAATCATTTTTTTATAACACAACATAGGTACAACAGAAAATATTATTTATATTTATAGTACAAAGTTTGTAACAACACATGTCAACCAAATAGTGAAAACTTTTTGGAAACATTTAAGGTTTTACAGCCTTTGGCTGTTAGAACTTTGCAGACAGTAGTTCACATTCTCAGGAATCTGACGACATCACTTTCTGATTCCAAACTAAAACTGAAATGTAACCTGGAAGCATCAGTCTGGTATCATAGAGCATCAAAAGTAAAAACTCAGAGAGGTAAAGGTCTTCCTGCTTTAAGTAATGTCACATCAAATTATTAACCTGATCTTAAATAATTTGATAACTATTTAAAAGAAAATCTAAATTCTGCAAAAAATACTCTGTGGTTTTAAGCTGCACGTTTGCATCGACAGGCTTTAATACAGTCAGAAATAAAAACTACCTTCTTTGATAAAATGAAACAGAAAATTACATTTACATTACTGTTGAAACTTCTGATAGAGTTAACACAACCTGCCCACCCATGACTCGAACAGATATGCAGGTTTAGACAACGGCTGGAATCTAATGTGAATAGAATATATGCTTCCAATTACTTTTATAATTTAATTAAAATTCAAATAAGCTGCTATGCAATAGTTGTGTACATGGAAATGAACTTGTTTCTCCACATAATGTGAAGAAGTAAAGAATGAAACAGCAGCACATGAATGAAAATGAAGGAACACATTAGCATTAGGATGAAGAAAACCAGAACCATTTATAAAACTGTTTATAAAACATCAGCAATAAAGATTCTGCACCTTTAAGATGTGTATCAGGAATATGCACCAGCAGTGATTTTATCTGTAACAGTTCAAGGAAGTGCAAAGGTTGTGTCTTTTTGGGTAGAATAACAGAAACTGATCCACGTGGAAGGCGGAAGCGTAGCTGTTGCTGTTATTCTCCTTGGGACTGCATCTGTTTACAAAAGGCCTCAAACTGCTGCTGCTCCAACTCTGTCATCACTTTGTTCAATGCATATATCTGAAAATAAGAGAAGCAGAAATAAGCAGGAGTAAAAAAAAAAAAAAAGCAAAAAGCCCAGAAGACCAACCAAAACACCATTTGAGTATCTACAGTTTAGATTTGCTGTGAGGATGGGATACCTCAGCTCTCTGTCGCTGTTTGGCCTCCTGCTGTGCAGACTTCTGCTTGGCTCTGTCTCCTCTGGTTGGGGTTGAGTTCAGCTTTGGTTTGTCCTTGCGGCAGGCCGGCTCCATGGCGTCGCTTTAACTCCACCTGAGAAAGTCCAAGAGAGAAAGTTTTATCCGGAAAAATCTTGATGTGGGACAGATTGATAAATGTAGTCTGGAGAAGGTTCTACTGAGCCTCCAAAAGTTTTTCCAAATTGCACTGCATTACAAACACTAATATTTCAAATGTTCTTTTTGTTTAAAATAAATTCTAAAAAGTGTGATGTGCATATATGTTCACCTCCATTTCCTTTAATTTAAGAGCAACCAATTGAACTTGAAACTGTGGCTGAGGTTCACATCATCCTCAAACATACAGCCACAAAAGCATATTCATCAAATCAAATTTTATTTGTATAGCAAGGCATTTCAAAGTGATTTACATCATAACAAGCAAAAAAAACACAAAGTCATGCAACATAGACTCAACAATCAAAACATTACATTAAGTCAAGTGCCATCATTAAATTCATAATTGATTACGTTTCAAATACAACTCTAAACAGATGGGTTTTTAGTCGAGATTTAAAGGAAGCCAGTGTTTTACAGTTTTCTGGAAGTTTGTTCCAAATTCAATGGCCCAGTCAAAAAAAAAAAAAAAAAAGCAGGTAAAGACATAAAGATGTAGCTGCAGCTAAATGTGCTTCTACAAAATAAAATGTCACAGGGGTTAATTTATGCACCACTTTAAAATACACTTAAAGTAGCAGATCTAATTGGACAAAGAACTTCAAGGGGTGTGGATACTTTTGAAGGCATTGCACCCGAGCATCAACGCAACGTTTACATAGACTGAAAACCGCCGTTGACAAAGTTCAGGTGCTTTTGGAGCATAATAATTAATTCGAAGCTAATAAACAGACGTACGTGAAAACTACACGTTCCCATAGCAACACGTTACTCTGAATTCAAACCAGCTACTAATGTTAATGTTAAGTGAGAATATTTAACGGGACAGGTTCCTCTGCGCCTAAATAGTCTTAGTCGTTAAAGTTAGCGTCTTAGTCAGTTCAGCTAACATTAGCCTGCTATCGGTTTGGTTTTACACGCTGACTTCTCAAAAAAGTAGCAACATTAACCTTCTGATAATGGTGAACTCGCCTGTGAAATGAGCGGAAGTCAAATGAAGCAATACAAGGAGGCTTTCATTAGCTTTGAGAATAAAAACTGGTTGTAGGAGGATACTAGCAGACAGATCAGCTATTCTCTGTGTGCCACAAATAAACAAACCCGTGTTCAGCTGAATAAAGCTCAATAGTTCCGGTAAGGAATTTTCTTTACCTTCTTTTTTTAGGTTTAATTTCTAAATATTTTGTTTTTCTAACTTTGGAAAGCTATTTTTTTTTTTGCTATGAAAATTAACTTATTTGATTTTTATACAGCAAATATAAAGTACTTTAGCATCAAAACGTAGAAAAAAAATACTTAGACGTGACGCCGCTACCCCACGCCTGAAATCAGTCTCTTAATTAGCAAACTGGTAAACTGAAGTGTTACAACAAATTTTATTAATATTTGTCAAGGAGGCTTTTTGCCACCAAGTTCCAAAATTAAATTTCCAGATGTACATCTCAGGTAAAACTACCTACCAATAGGTCTGGCCACCAGATGTCGCCCTTGTATTATAAATCATCTAATGTATTATAAATCATCTAACTTGTATGTGACAAGACACATAATAAAAAGAAAATACGGACAAAGGTGTCTAGTGAAATTAACTGAAATTCAGCTCTTGAATTCAGTTTTGAATCAGAAGAGTCAGCTGATAAGCGTGAATCAGACCGGGGTGCATGATCCCTCATGAAGCCTTCTCAGCGCATACATCAGCTGGGTGGTGAGTGAGTGTGATGGTGGTCCGAGAAACATTCATCACTGCTGAAACCAAAACAGCCATCAATGACAACACAGAATAACCAAACACCTTCACGTATGAAGTGAGCAAATCTTCCTCTCGTGCCAAACAACCTTACAGCATCTGCTGCGAAGATGGAGGTTTGAAATGAGCTTCTCTTCTCTCCACACCACCGAGAATAATCGAACGGCACACCAAATGGTTTACCTGGATTTCTCGGCCAGTGGCTCCATTTTGGAACAATATCTTCCCAAGAACTGGTGCCGAACTCAGCAGACAACAGCTGGCCATGCTGCCCCAAAATACACTACAGAATAAATGGAAGGAGTCAAACATGCTTTATTTACACTTTATTTCGTTATTGCAAAACCTATTTTTATTTACTTTTCATATTCTGCAGTTCATGCACTTTCATAAAATCCCCTAACTTAAACGAATTGGACAAGCGGTCCACAGAAACCCGGAAATGATGTGTAGCTTCTACATAAAATCAACTTCTCAGTTCACTTGAGTGGCAGCGAGTGAACAAACTGGGAAGTCAGAAAAGTCATCATGGCCGTCGCCACCCAGAGAAAACCCAGCTGAAAGACGTCACGGTGCTAACCACGTCGTTTTGACTGACAAGCCGTTTCTGGGGATTAAAAAAAAGCACAAACAGCCACAGTGATGACTGAATGAGAGCAGCAAAAGACAGGATGAATATTCAACTGGCAGCAATGAGGCAACATAACCAACCTGTTCAGGTTGTGTAGCTCATATGTTACATTTCACTTTCGAAAATGATTTCTTAAAATGATTATTTAACAGGAAAAACACAGCTATGAAT